GAAGCCACAGTAATACATAAGACAACACAGCTACTCTGTGGTAATCGCTAAGTACCATGAGAAACAGATACCAGGAGAATTTTTAGCAGTCTGCAAGCAGGCAGAAAGGTTCAAATCCCAGCCCAGTCACTGTGTGTGGTACCTTGAGCAAGATGCTTAATCTGTTGCCTCCTTTGAACTAAGAAAACAACAGTACTCAATTCATCAGCCACTGCAAGGATTAACAGAGCTGACATAGTGAGAAAGTGGAATTTCTAGAGCAAAGAACACATCTAAAACTGAAAAGAGCTATTAAAATAGGCTTTGTCTATAATTAATGGGCAGCTCCTGTTCCAGAGACCTGTAGCATACACACATTCATCTCTAGGCCTGAACCAGTCATCAATGAAGTCACTGCTAATCCAAATCAGTCTCTCCACACAGAGCATAAGTAAAGAGTCTAAAAATGGCCTTGAGTACACTGGTTTGGAGATGGAGATGATGGTTCACTCCACTTAATGGATGAACAACCTGAGGTTCAGAGAAGGAAAGTGAGGCATTCATGTCTATACAGCTGAGCAAGAGTCCAGCTCTAAAGCCCACAATGACACACTTTTCCACACATTCATCTGAGGCAAAACCTTGAAACACAGAATGAAGGCATCCCACCCTCCCAGTCTTTAAGCCAAGTGCTTCATCTAGCTGTGGGAGGAGATGAATTAAATGTGAAATAGGACTACCTCTTAAAAGGAAAGTATCATAGAAACCAAAGATTCTACTAAATGGTCATGTATAGTACTTTACTGATATGAATAGTAACTACTACTTGGCACACCTTCCTCTGAGGAGCAGAACTGCCTTTGTCAAACTACAATGAGAAGAAAGCAGGGAGAAAGGAAAGTACAGCACCTCTTCAATGAACACTAGTTGAGCAACTCCTGCATCAGGAATGGAGACATAGCCTGGTGAAGCAGGCCTAGCAACAGCCCTCATAGAACAAATATTCAGGAGTGAAGGAGGTCTAGACTCAAAACAAACACAAAGAAGCATACAAGAGCAAGTAGTGTGAGGAAATTTTAAATGGGAATAGGGAAAAAGAAAATGGCAAACAGTCTAGCTGCTTTAGACAAGAACATCATCTCTTCGAAGACCATAGGAAGGAACAATCATGCAAACACCTGGGGGTATGAGTCACAGGCAGAAAAAAGGTTGCAAATACTTAGGAGAAAGTAGACGGCCACATACATGCCATAAGTGACACACTAACTACTTTTCTGAATGCACAGGAGAGTTTAAGTATAAGAATGGCATGAGCTGAGTTAAATCACAACGAACTAAAAATCATTCTACTAGGGCAGGGTGGTGCACACCTGTAATCCCAGCACTTAGGAGGAAGCGGCAGGGAAACTGACATGAGTTTAAGGTCAGCCTGGCTCCATAGTGAGTTCAGTGCCAGCCTGAACTGCATAGTGAGAACTTGTCTCAAAAACACAAAAACAAGCAGACAAAAATCACTGTCAAAATTTCAAACTCAGATAATATTGAGGGATTGCTGCTAATTTTGTTGTGTGATAATAATATAGTATGTGGTTATTTTTCTAAGTCCTTATCTATTAGATTTATATATAACCAAGTATCTACAGATGCCTGAATATCTAGGATTTGCCTTAGAGACGCAAACCAAAACTAAAACAAAGAGCAAGACAGGACAGGCAAAACAAGAGTGGGAATGGGTTAATGCATGGGTGAGTGATGTGTAAAACAGAGGTCTGTTACACTATTCCATTTACTTTTGTACGTTTGAAAAGTTCTTTAATAAAAAGTTAAGCAAGAACAAAAAGCTACTGTAATTTTCAGTCTGTGCCCATGTAGTAGAGGGAGAAAATGTATTTTGGCCTGATTAAGATCTTCTGAAAGCCAAGGTCATATCCCTATTACCAATAAATTTAGGAGGCAAGTACAAGTAGTATTCAACTTGATGTCCTCCACCCTAGTATGTCCAACTGTTAAAAGACTACATCTCTTGCACAGCTGAGCAGAATCTACTTTAAATAAAGAAGCCAAAACAAATTGGTCTCATTCTGGAGAAATGAACCCAAATCACAGGCTGTGATCCTATTGGTGACCCACAAACAACCTCCTCCTCATAGGAGTGGAGCCTCCTGACATTGTTTTCATGGTAATTACAAAGGAATGTGACTTTCACACTCTCTGGAGATGCTCTCCCTGGGCAAGAATTAGCTCCTTAGCTGCAGTTTCAGGCCACAACAACCTGTCAAGGTCTAGGCTTTTTAATGCCATGGGGCTGAATCCTTCTTCAAATGACCTACTACTTAATATCTCCAGTTAATAAAGACTGCACAGTCTCCAAAGGGAACCAAATTCCTCAGTGAAACTACTGGTGCCACTGAAGATCCAGAGGAGATCTGGTTCTTTTACTTCCAGAAGCTATGAAAATTCATTTATATTTTATTTATTCATCTGCTGACCTCAGACAACAAAGTCTACCGGAAAGCCAGACTAATTCAAGAACTAAATAATAGTCATGCTTACCAAAGCTGATTCTTTCAGGCATCCTTTTCTCTGCTCTCAAGCTGCCCATCTTCCTCTATTGTTTGAAGGCCTCGAAGACTCTCCAGCCTGGACTCAGGACTCATGCCCTCTGGAACTGCCACCTTTCCTTCATTTCTCCATAAAGCCCAGAAGGAAGAACTATCCACAGTACAGATCTGAACCATTACTCCCCTCCTTAGAGGACTTTATTTCCCCACTGTCCACAGAACTAGGCGCTAACTCCTTGCTGGAACCTGTAGAATCTAGTCCTCAGGCCATCCTGCCTAACCACTCCCCAAACACACTCTAGACCACAGGAGTCTATGCTACAGCCATGGAGAGCTACTTGAAGCTTCCTCTGTGCTTCACCTTTCATGTATCACTCTTTTACACAAACTTCAAGGATGTCTTTGTCATCTTTGCAACTGTAGCACCTAGAAACTATATTCCACTGAAGATAGTGATAAAGATCACGCACTGTACCTCAGATATCATGCACATTTCTTTACCTGCATGCTCTCATTTACCTTCACCATCACCCAAGAGATAGCTTCTGTTATTTTCCCTGTTTAACTGATTTTTTAAATCGTAGTTTATTGAAGTATAGCAACTCATCCAAAGTCACACAGTAACCAAGTATTTCATGCACAGATTATAGTCAAGTTCTGTCTAACTTTAAAGCCTTCTTGGTAATCACTATGGAGATAATCACATACACTGATGACCCTACCCCAACAGAATTTAAGTTACCTTCTCCATATAATGAGTGAGTTTTTCTGACAGGAGTTTATTGTATGTGAGGCACTGAGCACAGACCTACCAAAACACTCATTCTTCTCTTCTGTTTTATTTTAGTCGGACAATATGCTCTGTTAATTAACATATGCACAAACACACACAAGTGTGCACTTGTCAACAACCCGAGCAGAGAAACCTTGGGCCACTGAAAAAGGAAATTTTTGAGTAATTTGCAGCTGGCATCCTTAAAACAAGTTGATTGTTTTTCTCCAATAGAATGCTTTGTGCTTTCATTGTTTGTTTGATCATTTTTATGCCTATATCTTGTAATCTGAACTACTTTGAAGTTAACAATACATAATATATTAACCATTGTTAATCTTCTATTATTTTGTTTTGAAATTCTGTATTATCGTTTTTATTCTTTTTTCATTTTAAAATTTTTAAAAGTTGATTTTTTTTTCTTCTGGCAATTCTGGGATTTGAACCCATGGCCTTGCCTCATACATGCTAAGTATGCACTCTACCTCTGAGCTACACCCCCAGCCCTGAGTCAGCCCTCTGCTGAATCCTTCCTGTTGCCCAGAATGCATATGTTATAGCTGAGAATGTAGCATCCATGCTAGATCATGAAACGACCTGGGGAATATAACCCAACGCAGCAGAGCAACAACACAGAAGTAAATGACAAACAGTCATTGGCTCAGTCATTTCCTCCAACAAACTTCTCCACAGCTCTGTTATATATAAGGCATTGTGTACACCCCTTGGGATTGATCCATCAGTAAACTGATGAAATAAAGGCCCCTGCCCTTGTCAGGTTACCACATAAGAGAAAAGCACAGTACTAAGTAATAAACATAGTAAGTAACATACTAGACAACAAGAAATGCCACTAGCAAAAAAGAAGTAAAGCACAAAATAAGAACACAGGAAAGCAAAGAAGACTGCACTGTGAAATTTGAGGTACAAACCAGTGAATGATGAGAAAATAAGAGTATCTAATAATACACAACTCCACTCCAAATAGCCTTTCAAGGGAAAGGGTCTCATGAGATATAGAAGAAATGTGGAGAGCATCTGTGCACTGAGCTCAGTAGTAATAATTATTTATTCCACAATACCAGAAGCAAGAGAAAATTGGACTCAAAGACAAAGCTACCCCACGCTATATCACTGATCGTTGCTCGTTTGCTTATTTGCTGTTAAAATGTGTGGAATGGAACCCAGGAACTCACTGCTAGGGAAGCACTCCAGCCCCATCCTCATTCTAAAGTGGTCTTCTTGGCTGGGTTTACATATAGCTTTGGCAATGCAGTAGGTGGTCTTCTGGGAGTCCCCAACTCTCTACTTCAGCCCTATTAGCTTAGCTCTCAGTGAAGTTATATTTGGAGCCTCCAAGTAAGCAGGCCTTGGAAGAAAAGTTCATTTGCTTAAAATAAAATATTTTTTGTGATGGTGGTTTGGTAGCAAGAACCAAGTCTCACACATCCTTATTTTGTCTGTATTTAGCACTGGGTATGAACTCAGTGAATTTTTGTTTGTTCAGTGAACAAATAAACTTTGCAAGCTTCCAGAGTCACTAGACAGTTATCTTTCTTTAAACTTCACTGCTGCTGCTGCTGCTGATGCCAACAATATCTCCCTCCCTTCTACCACCAAGCTTCCTGTTGCTCCCCTCCCTAGGTCTAAAATAACAAGAAGTTGCTTGGCAGTGATGTCACATTGCCATTGTCACCACCTGCAGGGCATTCACATGCTGCCTATATTTAAGACCCAGACTTCATGTTCAGTGACACAGAAATTGCCACCTTGAGAACTGTACTGGAAAGGCAAAAGTTGAAAAATAATTTTCTACAAATAATCAGGCTGCAAATTCTACCTCTCTCAAGATAAACAGGAAGAGCCAGGGAGTTAACTGAACAAGAGACTCCAGCTCCTGGATCAGGTACATCCAGCTCTTTCATCCCAACTTTTTTTTGAATTAACATAACTAGCATTTTCTTACAGCAACCACATCTCTCTGTCAGTTGTTCCTGGGCTCCTCTGTTATCATTCAAAACCATTCTGTTATTTTTATTTACTTCTGTAGACTTAACTACCTACTTATTAGAAAAGACAGCAAGTGGAGCATTAATGAAGGGTAAACTCATTTCCCTCTCCAGTGTATAATCATCATAACCTTTTAATGAGCATTCCATCATATTTATTGCTTTCAGTAATTTTTTTATCTTCTCCTGCTTCTGCGCTTTGGTGGGGAAAAGTGATGGGCTACAGTGACACTGCAGACCTAATCTTCTCCCTCTTCCCTGAACAGCTGCATATTTCTCCATCTTGATGTACTGCCCCAGTCCCTTTTTGGTGCAGATTTTCTGGAGAACATCTGGCATTGCTTCAAAATGCAAATGTTCATGCAAATATACCTTGCCGCTTACTCCCTAAAAATTTTAGTTCATCAACAAAACTTCTGTCTTTGATAAGATTCTAAAAGCATCAAAGAAAATAAACAAGCACATGGCTTTCTCGCTTGTGTGTGACTGCTTTGACAGATGTTTATGAAATTCTTGTCTTTCTTCCATTATGCTACTATCCATGCTTTTCACATAGAAAAGTATCTGGGTGAGCTGGGGGTATCTCTTTGGTACTGCACGTGCCTACCATGTGTGAGGTCCTGGGTTTAATCCTCTAGATCCCTAGTACCACAGGGAAGGGGAAGGGGAGGGAAGGGGGAAATTGAAAGGGAGGAGAAGAGAGAACAGTATCCAGAAAACCTATACTAGTCCAAAATTCTGAAAGGGTTACAAAGGAGTTCACTTGGCTCTCAAATGTTTGTGATGTTTGAGGAGCTTCCCTAACTTTACATAAACCTGCACTTGGTATTTTTACTCTAGTATCTCTGGAAGAATTTGACCCTACTACTCCCAAGGGAAAAATCTGCTGCAAAATCATTCATGCCAAGAATAGCTTCACCATCCACAGTCAAAGATGCAGGAGCCAAGGGGCGATGCTTGCTCAAGCTTCAGTGAGTGAGTACACCTGTCTTGGAGCAAAGAACATGTATAACTTGTGGCACTGTGTCATTTGTATCTTTTTCCCTGTGATGCCACTCCTGGAAGGAGATATTATAAAAATAAATGAACAGGGAGAAAGAGCTATGAACATATGGGTACCCACCACAAACTTCACCTGCATTCTCAGAAAACTAGAAGCAGCCTCAGCACTAAACCAGGAGGAGGTTACTGAGAATATTGTGACATGCTACATAGCATTAAAAATGACTACAGCCCAAGTCTTCTCATATGTGGTTCTATGGTCATAAAGTAAGATTTATTTACTGGAAAGATTCAGTATTGTGAGCAATATTAGTCTGTTTTATATTACTATAGCAAAATACCTGTGATAGGCTAACTTTATAAAGCAAAGCTCATGATTCTGGAAGTTAAAGGTCCAAGATTAGACAACTCCATTGATTTGACCACTAGTGAGGCCTAATGACAGCAAAAGTTTCAATGGCAAGAGCACGTGACAGTTCAGGTGTGAAGAGATTGTATCTTGAAGCAAGAGATCAGAGAGTGATTCAGGGTTAGGCTTACTTATAACTCTCTCTTAAGAAAGCTTAAGGATTTTGTGAAAGCAACCTTAATTCCTTCCAAGAGCAGATTCTCCAGTGATCTAAGGACCTCCCTAACCTCTTATGATCCCAAATATCTCCATCTCCCAGCATCTTTGCACTGTGGACCAAGTCTTCCACCTACAAACCCTTGGGAGAAGGGGACAACCCACACCAAGCCATAGGAAGAATCACATTTTTAAAAAAAATCTTACCTTCTAACATAAGAAATCCATCTCCAGGAACTCAGCTAAGGGAAACTACTAATAGCTTTATGAAAAAAAATTTATGGAATATGACTCCTAAGTATTTAAGACAATAATGTGAGCAACAAGGATGTATCTAAACACAGAACTCTCTATGTCCACCACAAGAGTTATCCATACAAATGAAAAATACGAAGAAAGACTTTTGTTAACTCTGTCATTAAAAAATGTTAATTTTTCAGCCAAGCATGGTGGCACACTATTGTAATCCCAGCACTCAGGAGGCTGAGGCAGGAGGATCACTGCAAGTTTGAAATCAGCCTGGGCTACACAGTGAGTTCAAGGCCAGCCTGAACTACACAGCAAGACCCTCCCCCCAAAAAAAGTTGATTTTTTCGAAGCTGACCACCAACTTACAGAGTTTGTGGTCTGAATTATGTAAAATTAATATACACACAAATAAATAAATGTTTTATAAATAATAAAACATTAAAAGTGATTGATCTAAGTGGTTTTATTCTTTAAACTTTTCCTAGACTTAAAGAGATTCACATACAGATCATTACAGACCCATAAAGAAAGCCACTTGTTGTTTATAATTTGAAAATAAAACCTTAAGCAAAAATGACAAATGCCAATAGTGCAATCACAGTATGCTTTGTATTTTTTCAAAGAAACCAACACAAATACAAAATGAATCCAATTTGGTTCTGAAAGAGACAATCCAAAGTACCTCACTTTTCTGACAATGGCATCACTGAACTCCCCTATGCAGCCTGGCTGTTCCAAGGGCAGCTTGGGAGCTTATTAAAAAGGCACAGTATGCAGCTCATGACCTGCAGAGTCAGAATCTAAATGCTAAGGTGATTCGCAGGTGCGTGGTCAGCACATAAAAGTGTGAGAAGCACCACTCTAAGCCACCAGTTGTCAGCCTTGGCTGCACACTGGAATTACCTGAGCAGTCTGGGGCTCGCCTCCAGAGATTCTAATTTAATTGGTTTGTAAGGTCGCTAGACGTAGTAGTTTTAAAAGCTCTCCTGATGGCTGAAATGTACAGCAAAGTCTAGACCACACATGCAGCTCTTCAACTCAGAGAATTCTTTATTAAAAAGTTAGTTACATCTGAGCAACAGGAGGTTAGATCAACTCCAGAAAATTACTCTTTTCAGTATTGAAATGGAGGAATAACTTCCGTCCATGAAACCGATAATAACCATCACAGCTGGCTTTCACTAAGTACTTCTACAGGGAACTCTCTGTACTTGGCACTTTCATGCATTATCTCTTGCATAATATCTTCAGGAAGAGACTGTTTTATCCTGGATTTCTAAGTGAGAAACATTAGACAAAACTCATATACCTAGAAGTGGCAGAAGCCCCTGTCCAAGCCTGAGAATGAACACCTCCTAAATATTGCACCCTAGTTACCGGTCCTTTTGGCTCAAGGATTCAGATTCATTAGCTCACCACTGACCAATCAACGAAAGCTATTTATTTTGGTGAAAAGAAAACGATTTATTCAAAACTACAAGAAGATGGGGAGGCCTCACCTGCCTCAGATCACCAACTTACTGTATAACTGGTGTGTTAGGATCTTTATAAGATAAGGGGATACAATGAGATAACAGACATGTTTCATTCCTTTTAACCCCTGACTTTCAGGGGCCAGCACCTGGATATCACTGAGACTGAATGAAGGAGGTGGTAGTCATGCCTAAGGAAGTCATTTGTCTCCAAAGGGGAAAAAAATCTGTTAAAAGTTCCACTTTGCCAGGCTGATTTCAGTAGGAACTTCCCCTAGGTATTAGCTCTGAGAAGCAGAACTTCAGTCCTGCCTGCTCCCTCCTAAGAATGACTAACTGAATTGGGAATATATGTTAGCTAAAAGGTTTAACAAATTTATTTAATCCTTCCCTCAATGTCAGCACTTAATTTAGGATCAACTATGTCTTGTTGATCTAACCGAATAAGCTTAACACAGAACACCAGAACTCCGAGGAATGAATCAACAAATGAACAAGCTGGATTTCCATAGCATCAAACTGCAGGAAAGCATCTCCTCCTCAGCCATCTCGTCCCTGCCCTGATAGGTGTCCTGGACTCATATTTGTCCTGGTACACCAGTTCCACCTGGGGGACACAACTCTTCCTGTCTCTAAGATTTAACTCATTAAAGACCTGCCTGCTAAGGAATGAAAGAGCTGAGGCCCAGGCAAGTAAAAGAGCCAGTGACCTTGGGGAAGGGAGCAAAAGCTGAGCCAGAATGGGCCAGACACACAAAGCAGCAGAATAGGAGCTCAACAGATGATTTGGAGTGGCCGTGAGCCCAGACAGCTGCCATGGGGAACAGGAAAAGAATCAAGAAGCCAAACTATGCCTTCCCGTGAGCCAGTCAGTGTGTAGGCTGGGAGACAAGAACAGTAAATCCTTACTTCTGCCCCCACCCCTTGTAAGCAATGGGCTGATTTAGAGGAAACCAGGCTGAGATGATAGCAACTAAACTTAAAAAAAATAATGCTTATATTGTTCGATTGACTTTGTAGGCCTAAAGCTGGTAGTCTGAGCACCTATTTGGAAGACATCAATATGTATTTTTAGCAACTGGGAGGATTTTCTTCTGTTTCTGAAATCCAATGTTTTGTTCCATTTTACTGTTTTATTTTATTCTTATATCTGGTAACCTGAACAACTATTTTGAAGGTAACAATATGCAACATAACAACCACTCTTAAACTCCAATCATCTTGTTTTGAAAACCTATATAGCTATTGTTCTTGGTTGTTGTTGTTCTCCTTTTGTTTGTTTTTGTTATTATTTTGATTTGTTTGCTTCTTGATTTTTGTTATTTCTTTTTTTCTTAAAAAAAAAAAAAAAAGAAAGAAAGAAAGAAAGAGAAGCAGCAGCAGCAGCCTAAAGGCTCCCAAACACAAAATCTTGATGGTACCTTTGCAAACACCCCTAAGGAAGAGACCTAGAAAAAGGGCTGATGCTGGTGTTCTCATGAGGACAGTGCTGCCCTCAAGAGCTGTAGCACAAGTGTGCAGGGATACCTGATCATCAGGGGTGACGATAGAGCCAAGGGCATTGACTGTCCAAGGCAGTTCACACGCCCCAGATCTGAGTCCTGCAGGCATTCATATGGAAGAAACACTCATTCAGAATCTGAACCTGAAATCTAACTTCATAAACACTGAATATAGTTTTTTATCTCAGGCCCACCCCTACTTTGCTTTTTCATTGTCTGTATTTCTAATAAAAAACAAGTCTGATCCTCTTACCTCCTTTAAGTTCAAACTCATGCATTATAAAGAGTTCAAGCACTTAACTGTGCTGTTTTTTCTAGCATAGCTGTACCTAGCCAATGTATACTGAAATCTATTTCTATTTCATGTTACAGATAGGAGATTGTGCTTTTTAAAACCAGTTGTGTAGGTAGGTTATATTAACTATGAATGTCATTTCAGGTTAGTAAAGTTATGTCACCAAATATGTTTATTTTAAAAAAAGGAATACTGACTCTAACAGTCTAAAGATGTCAAAATGACTATACTAGTGCTTACTAATGAGGTCAAAATTTATCAGACATAACCATCTGACTAAAGAAAAACACAACAGAGACAGCAACATAGAAACACTCAGGCTCCAGACAAGTGTCTGCATCAAAATTTCATTAACCCCACAAGGACAAGCTGGAATATGAGTGACAGCACAGTGCCTTTACTATGAAGCATCCATATATTCAAGCATAACATGGAAACAAGCCACTACCACCAGCACCCTCAATGCCACAGATGTCTGCTATTGCTGCTACTGTCGGTTTGGAGGAACATCCTGATTTTCCTCTTGAGAAACTCCTCTGGCCCTGGGTTCCCATTCCTGTGATTAGAGTGATGAAAAGCTGCCACCTCCTGGCTTCAGAGGGGCATACAACCAGGCCTGGACAGAGGATGGAAGGAAGAAAGAATGGAAGGAAGGGAAGGAGGGAGGGAGGGAGGGAGGGAGGCAGACAGACAGACAGACAGAAAGAAAGAGAGGGGGAGGGGGAGAGGGGGAGAGGGAGAGATGGAGAGGGGGGAGGGGGGAGGGGAGGGGGGAGGAGGGAGACAAGAGAGGAGAGAAGCATTGCACTAGTGAAATGAAAATGAATCAAGAACCTTACACAACCTGTCAATAAGAAGTCCTCTTTTCTTCCCACTGATTTGAGGCTGCTAGAAACCCTCTAGTGTCACAGAAATTCAAGCCTCAGTATAAAGGCAAAATCAAGAGAAAGAGAAAAGGGACATGAAAAGACATAAGCATGCTATCTCCAAGCCCCTTGACCCAGCTAGCACACCTAGTGCTTCCCTGAAGTTTTTAAATGCATAAACAGTTCAATTACATTTTTTCACAGATAGTTTGGGGTAGGTTTCTGCCATCTATGGCTAAGGGTTCTCACTACCTAACTACTCTAAGCACCAAGACTTAGGATGCCTGAAACATTTCCAGAAAGTCTTAATTCCCAAAAATAACTATAACCAAGTGACAAGCAACTACCATTAGTAAGTTTAAAGTTCATTTCAATGGATATGTCGTGCTAACAGAAGAACTATCACAGTGTTAGAAGAGCTGTCATTTCTTGGTAACACTTAGAGCAGGTGACACTCTCACTGGCCCCACAGTTCTTTTATTCCTTCAACTAACCAATATTATTCAACAGCTGCTGTGTGCCGGGCACTGTGTTAGGTACAAAGAAAACAGGGTAAGCATAAGAGTGTTACTACTTCTCTCACAGAATTTACACTCTAAAAGGGAAGACAGTAAGTACATGGATGAATACCCAAAGTAGGACTGAAAATAACAATCCTGTGTAGGAATTACTAGTTCCTCCAGAAAAGTATTAAGAAGGATCCTTACCTAGCTCTAAATGGGGCAGAAGATACCAAAACTTTTTGTACTAACAAGTGTTCTTAAGAAGAAACAGAAAATGCAGCTCTAACTGGTGTAAAGAGCAACAGAGATTTAATGGCACCCAAAACTAGAAGTATCTCACAGACATGCAAGAGGAAGTTGACCAAGTCCTTGGTGATGTCATGAGAACCAGTTCTTTCACCCGCTTCTCCATTCCAAAACACTGTATGTGCCTCCCGCTAAGGTTACTGTCCCTTATAATAGCAAAATGGCCAAGGCAGTGCTAACCTTTATCCCTTCACACACATAAAGGAAAAGCCATCAGATAAGCAAGCAATAATGTTTCTCCAAAGTACCAACAAAGCTCCAACTATGTCTACCTGACCAAAATTAGATCACATACCCATTTTCTAAGCTAAGTACAACCATCTTACCTGGCTGGATCAAGCCATGGTTACCTGAACCAGTTCCTCTAGAAAATGATGGAATTATCTTGATCAGACTGAATAAATTTGGCTGGACTTTGATGCTTGGGAGAGTTCAACCCCTCTATGAACCAAGGGAAAATACAACTAAGCCATGGCTAATGTCCAATAAGGAAGAAATGTGGGCAGGACTT